CCATAATCAGATATTGTATACAGTGATAAGATCTCTTTGTACATAAAGAAACACCATGTTTATTCGATAGGCATGAAGAGTGGGTGTCTTTCCTGTAAAAACATACAATATACTTTCTATCCAGGCATTTTACTTAGATGGGTAGAAAAACTATTATGGAAAGGATCCTAATATATTTAGAGTAAGTGGGTTGTGAGAAATTTTTCTAAGAGAGAAAGATACAGGTGGAGCTTACAGGTTACTTTTAGAGACTGATGATCTATTTTCTGGAGTCCTCTACCTGCTATAAACAATAATGGAAATTGTTATCTTGGCTCCTTAGTATTACAGAGCCATTAAAAGAAGGCCACTGGAGATAGGTGTGTTGACTGCAAAAGATCACACGGGAACTTTCTGGTGTGATAGAAATGTCCTGTACCTTGGTAGGGCTGGAGGTTACATGGGTACATGCATTAGTCAAAAATGGTTGGACTGGGCTTCCCTGGTGGTGCAGCACTTGAGAGTCCGCCTGCCAGTGCAGGGGACACGGGTTCGTGCCCCAGTCCGGGAAGATCCCACATGCCACAGAGCGGCTGGGCCCATGAGCCATGGCCGCTGAGCCTGTGTGTCCAGGGCCTGTTGCTCCGCAACGGGAGAGGCCACAACAGTGAGAGGCCCGCGTACCGCAAAAAAAAAAAAAAGGTTGGACTATGCATTTAAGCTCTATGTAAGTTATACTTCAATAAAAGTACAAATTAAAAATGTAAAGGGAAGCTAGCATAGGGAAAGAATTCTTGCTAATTCCTCGAGATCGTTGCTTGTACTTAATTTAGACCCTCTGTCTCACACTCTGTGGAGGTGACTCAAGAAGACTGAAAATTAATCTGTTGCTTACTCTGAACAACAGCCCAACATCTTGTGCTATGTCCATATCCCACTGTTGAGATGACAGAATAATGGGATTATTGTGTGCCTGTGTGTGTGTGTTTGTTGGCATTATGCATATGTGTGTGTATGTGTCTCATTCCTTCTTTAAGCCAGTTTCTCCATTTGTAGAAAGGGAATAATAATATTTGCTCTATCTCACTCATAGACCTGTGGCTTTGGTTCAGTGATACAACAAATTTGAAGGAGCTTCAAAAACTCTTAGCACTAATGAACTATCTGTGTCCAAATCATTTTTTCTGTATGTGTGGGGGTTATGTAAGTAGGGAGGCAAGTGCTCCTGGACTGTCTATTAATTTTTCTCTGCTCAAAGCTCCCAGGGTTTATATTTTTCAGCTAATGCCCCAGCAGATAATGCCATTTCTGGGGGCTTATTCTTTCATCAGAATCAATCAAAAGTAGGTGCTCTGTTGTCTCCTGAGGACATATTTACTGAGTGTCTACAATATGCTATTTCCCACAGAGACTCTGGAGATCTGGATCTAATTTTGTCTGTGTTGATGATGCAGCCTGGTTCCTGAGGCAACTAGGCTAAAGGTCAACTCTACTGAGAAGAACTGTGTGGCCATTTTCCTCTGACCCCAAATCTGTTTTCTGCACTAAGCTTGTGCCTCCATCCTCAATAAGCTGGATGAGCTTCTCGCCTATGGAGGTTGAAATAAGAGCATTTGTCTTCCAAAGGTGATCTCAGTCGGTTGAAAGGGGTGGACTGGATACTTTTTAAACAAATGAAGCACTGGGGTCTTCCCCTAGCGCTCTAGAAGTGTCTGAGTTGCTAGGGTTGGGGAGCTGAGATTGAAATATTATTTCCAATGATAACTTTTCCTCCATGAAGATTTTCTCTAAAAAATGTTCTTTTGCATAAGCAACCACAAGTGTTTCAGTTCAACTTGGAAATGTACTCTTAAAGGTAATTAGAAGACAGTGAAATAATGATGGGAAATATCAAAGGGTGGCAACATAGGGTAAGAGTAGGTGTAGGGGTGTGTGTGTGTGTGTGTGTGTGTGTGTGTGTGTGTGTGTGTGTGTG